GTAATTCGGGAACTAGTTGGTTGCTATGGTTACCATAGGGTGAAGAGTGCCTGGATGGATCGATGGCTTGTCTACTAATACTGTATTTTCTTCCAAAAGTCTTTTTTTATGGGAAGATTTTGTACTTCCTTAGAAATTCCAGACGGGCAGGGAGATCCCATTTCCGATTCGAGCAGTTTTGCGAGAGCCACTTTGCCTCGATATGAGAGATAAAGGCCATGACTGTTGAGGAGATGACGCGGGAAGAGGCCTGTGCAAATTATGTGGGCATTGTTTTGAGTGCACCAGTTGCAGAGCAATGTATTCTGGACATTTGGGAGTTCGTAGATTGATTACTATCAAATCGCGGTGGTATAGTGCATATGTGGAGAGAGATCTGGGGGCGGCTTTGCCTAGTCTTTTGAAGCAGCGACAATCCGGGTTGCAGATCTTCAATATCGTAAGTGTCGACATTGTTCGTGCCGGCAATGATAACGTGGGAGGTGGTAGGACTCGAGGCGAGATACTTTGGAAGGCATTGAACGACAGCGTGGAATTTCGCTGAAGGTTTTACCATGGATAGGGGATCCAGGTGCGGGAAGCGCGAGCGGAGAATGGAGGAGAGGTGCCGTCCGTGGGAATCGGCGAGAATTAGGACAGGTCTTGGAGGGGGTAGGGAGGTGCTCGCGGAAGTTGCCAAGATGGAGTAGTGCGTAAAGAAACGAGAAGATCGTGCATGTGAGGAGGAAGCCTGTAAATGATACGGGCAGGATTTTATTTGTTGTTGCTCGCTACCCTGATGGGGACTTATCATCTTTGGGGGGATCCCGGGACAATCAGGGAGACAAGGGGTCAAACCTGTTTGTTAATTGTACCACGTTAGTGCCCGCAAAATTAGGCTGGCGTTTGATGGGATTTTTTGAAGTGAGAAATTGGACGTTGGATTCTGTGAGACTGAGGAGCTTCGCCTCCATCTCCTCACGTTCCTCTGAGAAGAGAATAGTTCTTTTTTTTTCCAACATTCTCAGTCTCGAGAGCTGAGACTTTGTCAGCTAGTACGCGTACAGATTTTATCACCGATTCGAGTGTTTGGTGCATTGAGAAGTGAGAGATGCAAGGGGAGCCCTGGGGTGGGGGCGCAATGATGCCTACCAGTTGAAGGGTCGCAAGGATTATTGCACTGGCGCTGTTCATTAGAGTATATGTCAGAGACATGGGAGAGACACATAGCGTCTGCAGGAGCTAGTCAGAGGCGGGGTGTGATGCACAATGCATGGGCTAATTTTTGGCCCGGTAGGAGTGTCGTCGTCCTGGTCGCTCGAGAGCGTGAAAGATGTGAGCGATGTTGGAGAGAGAGGCAAGAGTGAAAGGTGATCTTACTGAAACTAATGGATCACTGACCGTTGCCCCGCCTCTAGGTTCGGAGCATGCCCTCCCTTGTGTTAATACACAAGAAAGAAATGAGGCGAGAGGTACATGAGGATCAGCGCTTCGGATCCCCCTTGGGGCAGTAAGGCGAAGAGAGGCTAGGCGAAGCTAATGACCTTAAGGGAGAAGCGTGAGGGGACTCGCGGCTGGGGACCTGTTGAAGGGAATTTTCTACAGAGAGCGGAAGCCGGGAAGAAAAATTGTTTTTGCAGACAGGAGATAGAAAAGTTGCACAGGCACGACAGATATCAGGCCATTATGCGGAGAAGTGTTCACTATCAGTACCTTGGATGACCACTCTATGTCGGGCGTAGTATACGTGGACTGTGAAGCATTTTGATGGGACACTGTTCACTGCATCCTATGACGATCTATGATTGGCTCAGTTTCTTGGACGCGATGAGGAGAGAGAGTTCTTCAGGATCATCTGAGTCGATGGATGTGTTTTTGAGGCGATGACCCCGATCACCATAGCATCGGTCGGTCCAAACTATGTCAGAGGTGGGTTGATAAGGAGCGTACTATGAACGAAGGGCTAGGCGACATGCTACGAGGTACCATCTCTTCGCGCAGGCAGTCAATTGTGTATTGTTTGGGATGCTTGAGTTTAACGTCCCAGTAGGGGAGGAAAGCAACGTTTGAAGGGCTCATTGTTGGACCACGAGGTTGAATATCCAAATTCAAACAAGATTGGTACCCAACAAAATTGTATGTTCAAACACTAAAACAGATTAGATGGAGGATGGAGAGTCACGCACGACACGACACGGACGCCATATTGCCATATTTAGGGCTGTCAAGAAGCTCATCCATCCACAATGAGGTCTCGGGTCTCGGTCCCGCGTTCATCACCACGAGATAGGCCTCTCTCATGCTGCACATGTGTATGATGTACCATTGTAAAGATCATCTATCGACTATTCTAGGCCACATATTTTAATAGTCGGTGTGTCCTCCTCGCGCTTCAAAAACCGCCTTGACCCGAGCAGGGTAGGATTGAAGAAGTCGGCGGAACAGAGGTGGGACAGGAGGTAACTTGGACACTTATCTTTTTTGGCGACCTCGTTCCTGATGATCTCCCAAGAAGGTTCCGAAATGCAGCGATTCCAATAGGAGCAGTAGACATTTCACACTCGTAGGGGCTTTTATTCTAGTTAATCTTCACGAAATTTTCGGACCTTTTGATTTTTTAGCGATCCACGATCGACTAATAAACTCAGCACCCGCATCTCACGCTTCTCGGAAAGTGAAGACGCGGATGCGATCTACGAATCTCAATATTTCCGAGTTACCACAAGCCACCTGGGAAAGATAAAGATGCCGTTAGAATAGTCGACATAAGTGCTTTACAATGTTATATCATACATATGTGTAGCACTTTTGGTTTGGGCTGTGGAGGGGGGCTCTATCTATATGGGACCCTCTGTACATTGCCTGCTCGCGAGTTCGCTATGAGTATTTGCTGAATAATAAGGTTATCGATGGACCGAAGGAGAGCAAAACAGATGTCACTGATACCGAAGATGTGGTGTTTTAAGAAGCACTTCTTTCTTCGTCCAATCCGTTCATTGGGACTTTTCTGTTCATTAATATATAAACTATCCGCTTCGTTCGCATGTGTGTCCCGTTTCTTGATCTTTCATGGTTCCTTCCGTGTCTATTACTTAATTCATATTGAACTAATTTTGGTTATGATTTACGCATATTGGCAGATATAGGGTGCTGTGCCTCAGCATCTCTTTGATGCATAACTGTTCCATCGTATAATAGATGACATTTTGGAAGCTGAAATCTGGCCAAGACTGTTCTTAATTGATAAGCAGTGAGAAAAAAGTATATGTACGGGTAGAAGGCCGCAATTGCAGCCATAGACCGCTAGAGTAAATATCATTCGGTAGTGCTTTTTTGTTTTCTTTGTTTTTAATGAAATAATAAAGACATTTATTCATCGTCAAGGACTTCACTAAGTATTGGATTGATTTTTGTTTTACTTTCTCATGCTTGAATTTCAGATTACCTCTGGCAGAATGTCACAATCTCGTCTCTTGCTTGGAAGTACGTCTTAAGCTGTCAATTATTCCCTCTTGCAATAAATTCTGACTAAAGAAATTGTTGTCCTTACCAATAAGACCAGATTCCCTTTCAGAGGAAAACAGAACTTTTTGAATAGATTCATTTTGCGTTCATGTCCAAAGCCTAGAGAAATAACATCACTTATCGTAGTCAGGTGATTTATGGGTTTGACTCAGAGTATTATGTGAGAGTCGAGATCGGCTTTTGATTCAAATAAATTCTCCGGAAAACAAGAGAAAGTAATGTCACCCAAAATAACCTCATAAGGGTACAAGCTTTTCGTCGCTTAATGATAATTTATTAATATATTGATTTCACGCATTTAGTCGATTTCTCTTAACAAAATGGGAATATTAAATACTGCAAAATATTTTTGAGCCTTGGAAAACGGTTAAAGACATGGAAAACTAAAGTGAAAAGCATCAATAAATTCAAAGAATAAATGGTCCGATTCAAGCAGATAGGTTTTTCCTGTGTCCATCTTCTTTCACATAAATAACATCTAACACATTCTTTCATGCACGGCTCAGGCGCTGAGGAAACTTCAGCTTCCAGGAAATTAAATAACATTGTGTCACTAATTACATACATGCGGGACTTCAAGGCCAGAATATCATTCTTCAGACCTTCAATTTCATCATGGAAGGGATGGCGGAAATGATTTTAAGAAGAATACCATAATCAAAGGAGGGCCAAGTCCCCATCAAATTAGAACTTTCTCTTTGTTCCCTATAAGTTTTTCTTTTATTCCCCAATTCAGAAGCGGATTTACTATCTACGAGAGAAAGCTTTGTCATTAGTGGCTAAGATTTCAGAGGAAATTAACTAGATGAACCATCCGAGGATGAAGTCATTCTCGTACCGTGAGGACTACATAGAAAGTAGATGGAAAAATAGTTTTCCATCTACTCTTGACCATTTTTCATGACACATGTTAGATCTCTCGCATGGCTTCAGAGGGTATGAAGTACTATGACGTCATCTCGAGTCTGTTGAGTCATTTAGAAAGATCAAGAAGGAAGAAAAAGAAAAAACCGTCGGGTCACATCTACGACCTCTATTGCAGTTCCCACTTCTTCACTTTCTTTCAAGCCTTCAATAAAGAAGTAAATAATGGCTTCCGCTATCTCTTGGTCTGCGTTTACTTGCACATTGTGGGAAGGTGTACGCCTGTCAGAAAACATTTCCTGAAAAAATGAGACCGACATTCACGTGAACGTAGTTGCATTTAACCCTTTCCATGGAAAATTACTTGGGTGAAAATGGTCCCTAGGGATTCTACAGAAAGATATAGACATTTCTTTGGAACGGTTTATTGAAACTCTCTATAGGATTTATAAAAGGTTTCTATAAGGTTTCTCTGAGTTTTGTATAGAATTTTAATATATTTCTATAGAAATATATTAGGCTTCTATGGAGTTCTACAGAAGTTACAGGGAGGAATCCAGCGGAAGACTCTATATAGTGCTGCAGAATGTTTGATTGAGTCTTATAAGAAGTTAATATGAAGGAGAGTGCAAGATAAATTGTATAGAATCCTACAGAAAATACCTTAGAATTTGATAGAATTCCCCGGGCCTGTGAAAACGGGATACATCATGACAGGAAGCGTGGGAAGGTGGGGCAATGCCGTCAGGGATGTCCGATATAGAATTCCCTTTCCTCTACTCAGTGTCGCCGCTTGTGGCTTGTCTGTGTATGTTCGTCCCAGTCCACGTTTTTTAAATAATAATTTAAAAAATTAAAACAGCATTTATCATGTGGTCCACGGGTGGTACTCAAGAAAATTTTTCCCAGCGTCACTGAAGAGATCGATCAAATCCACATCTTAAACAGGGGTGTGCCTCGCGGAGAGCGAAAGCGGGCGGACCACCACTAAAACGAACCTAAACAAGAACAAATCCAAAGACTTCGGAATCTTCCAAATCAACAACAAGTACTGGTGCTCCCCGCCAGCTACTGGGGGATGCAAGATCCCCTGCCAATGTAAGCCTCTCGACAAAAACTCTCCGCTTTTTAAAATTCACTTTAAATGTCTGAATGAGCATGAACCTCGTTTCTTGCAGCTCTGCTGAATGACGACATCTCGGATGACGCCAAATGCGCGAAGACCATCTACAAATCCAGCGGATTCAAGGCCTGGTATGGATGGAGGGCTAAGTGCCAGGGAAAGAATACAGCCGTCTACCTCCGGGGATGCAATCTCTAGAGACCTGTTTGAAGTGATCCTTCAATGAGAGTCGAGAATAAAGATGATGTCGTCTGAGCGGAGTCCTTTTCCATTTCGTGTGAAAGCTTCTGCCAACCGAGTATGAGCGTGGCAGGAGATTTTAGCGTCGCATGCTGGAAAGGCCGTTTTATTTATAACGTAGAGAAAATTTCCCACCTCATAATTTTCAGCAGTGAAGCAGAGTGCGTGCTGACTAAGAAATTGGTAATTTCGAATTACACCAATCAGGTGAATATTTTACTCGGCAAGAACGAAAATTGGGGGCAAATATTTTCAAACATTTATCCTAGAAGACAAAAATTACCCGTTATCGATGACTGCAAAATTGTGGAGCACTCAAATATAATTCTGCAAGGGAATTTCCTATGTAGCCTTGAAAGTCTATCGGAATTCGAAGTGGCACTAGAAGTGCCTCTAGATGTGGCCCTAGGATTACCACTACTGTAGATGTATCCCGCTGATATCCACCAGGGCAGTTTGAGATCCGCTGAGCAGGAGGAAAACTCATAAATTGGCCTCGAAATATGCTTTCCCAGATTGCCAAACGTCATCGGGCCAACCGAGGCAAATCATCGGCAAAGTCCTTGGTCGCCAACAATGTCCCAATATAAAAAAATATCACGCCCACCTGATATTGATGAATGATTCTCCCCTTCAAGGATGGTACAATATTTGGCAGCACTTCGAGGAGCGAAGTCATCCCCTAAATATATCATATATTTTACACTAACGGAAATACTTCCTTTTTATAGGAAATGAACAAGAATTCGATCCATATTAACCTGCAAGCAGCCCTCAGAATAAGGTGAAAAAGGTTTCAATTAATAATCAATGGAACGTCATTACGGAGTTCCGTGACTCCTGTCGGGGATCACTACGCTGTCTAAATATTTATATCAACATATTAATATTTTTAAATTCCTGGGCTCCATGAATCTATCTCTAAAATGGTGATAATACTTGATGAAATGGCGGCTTTGATCGGTTGCTTTTATGAGACATGACAAAGCATATGGTGAGGATTTAAGTACTACTGCGAAGGACGATTCTCGGGAAAGAAGGAAGGGTACTTTTGGGTACTGTGCGAAAAGCGAGAACCATGCTGCCATCTAGTGGCCTAGAGGAGAACTTCGTTTTCCTGAAGCTTTCAAATGGAAATCGGGCACATTGCATCGTCCCATCCGTTCGATATGAGATCGATGATGGTAGGGCAATAATGGGGAGGCATTGCTTCGCCAATACTGGCAATATTGCCCATAGCCGATAATTGATACAGGATGTCTCAAAAAAAGTTAACGCTGTAATAATAACTTTTTCAGGTATTATATTGAACTTAATTTTTGAAATGAAAGTTTCTGTAGCGAGACATGCAACGCTGAAAATTAGACTTAAAAAAAATGAACACGCCATTATTAAAGGACACGTTCAAGGCGTGCTCCTCCTCGACGGCAACGCGCCATCAGGCCCTCAGCGAGGTTTTGTCCTGCTGAATGGACTCGTCTCTGGTCTGGTCTGGAGTCGGCAAGAAGATTCTCTCATTCGATGAAAATCCGGCGAGATTTTTGCCAGAACGAATCAGCGATAGAATGAAGAGTCTCCCGGCAGTCCAGTCGGAGACGTGGTGCCAGATGACGGTGCCTTTAAAGCTCTCTTCAAAGCTGATGATTGAGGTTCATGAGCAGGTTTTTAAACGCCCTTGAACCCGAAATGCAGACAGAAGGAAAATGCACATGTGTACCTTGTTTCGCTTCTGTACCTTTTCAACGAACGTATTTACGACATACGTTTGTACCTCATAGCGTACAAAATACGTACCTCACAGTACGTTTCTGCTTTGCTGTGTGGTGAATTTGGGAAAAACTGTAAGTTTTTCCCAATTGCTAAAGCCCTAGTTCATATCTCAATGGACATTTTTCAAAACTTGACGTACGATCCGCTAAACGCTGCGCTCTATGCGTCCGGGAGTCAAAATGGCGTCCCTTTGCCAAAATCAAAGTACGTTCTGCAATATTCTAACGTACGGGATTAGAAACGTCTATGGACAGCCAAGAAGCAGACCAGGAAAATAATTCCTCCGAATACGGAAAGGCGATAATGTAATACTTCCAAACAAACCTTAACGTACCCGTGTCAAAACCGTGCATACTGCTGTCGAGATTCAACATCCGCTCCCCAAAAGTCGAAACAGAACGTCCTACGATCACCTTCTAACCTACCTGGAGTCAAAACCCAACATCGGCAAAACTCTCAGGACGATCCATTGCTGCGAATGGAAAGGCGAGGAGTCTCTCGGATCGATGCCCGCCCTGTCGGCCATGCAAAGCGAAACCGACCAGAACCTCCCCAATGTCAAACAATGGAGCGTACGTTATTATTTGAGGCAAGGACGTTCAGTTTTGACGCGAGTGACGTAAACTCGCTCTAAAGGACACCAGCAATGTATTCTATCAGGAAGTTTGTTTCGGTGAAGGACGTATGGCACGTATGCCGTATGACAATTTTAAATATAATTAATGGCGCTATATCTGGCTGATGGTGTGCTAGTGCCAATAAACTGAAGCCATTTCTCTATGAAATTTGTTCATGAACTATTTTTACCGTTTTGCCGATCATACACCGAGGACCTCTTGTCCTCAACGTCTACCTAGACAACTAACACAATATAGGTTCGGTTCTTATATGTATTTGCCGGGTGTTTCAACAGCCATTAACCAGGTGAAGTCGATGCAGACTTAATCCGAAAGCACACAAATTCCCCCCTCCCCCCCCCCGTTCTTCCCCTCTCGCCTTCGTTAAACGGGGGATTGCGCATTTCGGCACCACAATAGATGCCTCTGCGATCGCGGTTTCTGCCTGCTGGGTCCATTTTCCCACTTTTCCCATTTCCTTTCCACACCCTAAGAAAGTCAGACTGTTATTTTGGGAAGTCACTTCTTGACTTATGTCATTAGGAAGCGGATTTTTATGAGCTAATAAGCCCTAAAATATGCACATGCATATGCGCTTAAAAATTGGAAAAGATGCATGAAATGTGCACGAAAATGGGAAAATATGCAAAACTTTTTTACTTACTTTTTCAAACGCAGTACGAATTTTTCAGGTGAAGGAAATTCAGGAATTCGCCAGTGGCGGGGCTAAAGGAAACGAACAGACCCTATTTTTCGAAACTCTCCGAGCGGGATGGTGGTATCGGATGGATTTAGAACTGAGTTTCGGGGGATTTGCCACTCCAGCCAGCGCATAACGGCCTGAAAATTGGCATGGATCGCTCATAAATAAACGTATTGTTGGAAAACTCTTACTTTTTTGATAAAAACGACCGAAACGTATGAACGTAAAATATGCACATGCTGAGAAAAGCGTAAAAAAGCATGCATTTTTATGCATTAAAAAAATGGCAGAAATCACTTCCCATACCAATAAGACACGATCCCATCTGGATTATATGTTCCTAGGAGGCTGCAAAAAAATTTGCATCCCTCGTCAACATTCAAAAAGAGTGCAGGGCGTTGCATCCGGTCCAAAACCCCTCTACGAGCCAATTGGGGGAGCCTAAGTTGGAAAGATTTGGCGATCATAACATGAGATTTTCGCAATTAACACCTAATTAATTAATTAATTAATTAATTAACATCTATGAACGAAAATGGGTCCAAAGGTCATACAACTTTTGTAACCTATGGCAAACGAAAATGACCATAAAATGGCAAGATCAAGGCAATAAGCAACAATTTTCGCCCATAAACTCGGGGCTGCAATTCCCTTTTCAACCCTTTTTAGCTGGTATTAACAGAAATTAATCGCAAGTAAATACTCAAGATCAGGTATTTAGGATACTACCGAATCGCAGTCAGCATTATCGCTTGTCAATTACATTTCTGCAGCGACGCGAGAAACTCTTTCAACTTTCGAGACGAAGCATTTAGCTCTGACAACTCTAAACGACGAGAAAATCTTTGCGATCGGTCGGAAGGGACTGGAGTACGGGCCAGTGGGTTGCAGTCGTCAGCCTTGCATCCATGCAAAAAGGTCCGAGAAGATATGAAAATCGCACTTCCAGTTTCGCTTTTCGTACGTTAGCAATGAAATCGGATGCTAAGTTTTGTGAAAAGATTGCAGAGTTCAGGGATTTCTTCAAACTGTTTTGAAAACGGAACTGCAGTTTTGAGAAACGGACGTTCGCAATTGGGAAAAGCTGCAAGCCAATCGATTACTGGAAAGAAGGCAAGATTCTTGCTTGGAATCCTATAGACAATTCAGATGCGACGCGAGTGCGATGCGGGCGTGGCCCTGCCCGAGGCATCTCGGACTCCCTTCGATGCATTTTCCCTTTTCGGGTCTCCTTCCTGCATTGTGTGAAATGCCTGCTTAAGAATGAAATACTTGCTTGATAATGCAATACCTGCTTAATAATGCCATGTGGCGCTCACCTCGCCGTCGCCTTGGTATTAACGCCATCTCTATCAATACTTTCCTTTGTGGCACTTCCTATGAGCACTCAGAAGTACTTGACAGCGCGTACCTTCCGTACCTGTTGCGAAACAAAAAGAATGCTCCAGGAATGCTCCAGGAATGTCCTATTCACCCTCTCTCATGCCTGACATGGTCTCGGAAAAAGCGGATCTGACAGGAATAACTCGGCCTCCCGTCGACTCCATACAGCCTTCCGTCCTGTAATTTCCCTCTGAGAAGGAACTCAGATTAATTTTGTTTACCACTGCCATTTGTTGTAAGACGAATTCGGTAGTGTGCACTCAGAAAGCAGATATGCGATGAGGATGAACGGTAGTAATTAAAAAAAATTCCAGTCGCTTCCCACTTAAAGGTAGACAATCTTCAACATTTTTTTCGCTCTCCCTTGGAGCATCGATTCCTTTTCATTTTCTTCACGCACCTCGTCACCTGCATGGAAATGGATTGTTCCCATCCGAGCAACAAGATGGCGATCCAGCCGAGATAACCAGAGCGTGCCTCAGTGATGTCCTTGGTAGTTAAATTTAAAATTAAATTTAAAATTAAATTAAAACTACATAGAT